TTATTTTTAAACTGGCGTTTTTAATATATTGCCGCCTTATGTTTCATTTTACTTCGTATTTTGTTTTGTTTGGTGCAACAGGTGAATGGATGTTGAAATATTGAATTAATCAAGGTTAAAAATTATTCTTTTTAGAATGTCCCTTTCTCTTTTCCAAGAGAAACATTCATGATGCATTTAATATTTAAACCACTGGAGTTTTTTTTTTAATTCTAACTTAAACGTTTACAATTTAGAAATTTTAAGGTCCTAACATTATATACACAACTATGTCCATAAGTACTATAGAGTTGTTAGGTTTTTATGATAATGGAGACGTGAAAAATATACAAATACCCTCACCGAGATTCGAACTTCAGACCTTCCGAATACGCGAAGGGTGTGCTTCAACTTAACACCACGAAGGCATGCGGGAAGGGAGGGAGAAAATAACTTATACTTTTAAAGTTTATTCATAATCGAAGGCATATAAATAACTATGTAGAAATGTATTTTGTTATTTTTTAAAATGAAAGGATCGTGCAAGTAGTGTGAATATATAGTAGAAACAGCATTAGTCGGTGTATTTAATTATGGCAAAGCACACTAGGGCTATCTGCCTAAGGGGAGGGATGCCTTTCGTGGAGGACTTTCTAAGGGAAACTGGCTCGTATATACGTTACACATGGGGAAAACCACGAAAACACCCATGCAGCCAGCCCGTTCGCGGGATTCGAACCTCGGACCGAACTACCAGTGTTCAGCGACTTTACCGCTCGGCCGCTGGTGGGCTAGAAACAGCATTAAGAAGAGATCAAGTGAGCCTGATAACTAAATGGAATGTTAATTGGGCGTCCATGGGGACCGCTTCAAAATGGTGTTTCGTTATAAAAAGGCCAGTACCTTATGCAAGTTGTACACTGCTCAAAAAGACAGAAACCTTTACAAGGGGACATTTATTAGCAATGCCGACACACGTATAAAGCTCGGTTTCAAAAATATTAAAAGTAGTCTTCAAGCAGCTTCTTTTTTTTCAAGTTAGAAATTCTTAAATGTGAAAAATTTAAGGTACAAAAAGTAATGTACAAAATTCTTGCCATTAAACGAGCAGCATTTAATACAAACTGCATAAAAAAATTCAAGTTTCAATCAAAATAACGCGTGTGGCTGGACTCCAGTACTCGTATAGGGTATTCCATGGGCTCATGCAGTTTGCGGGGTGGCGCAGGAATCGGATGCTGAGCAGATGCACGGGGCCTGGCTCCGGGCTCTCGTGGGCCTTCTGACTGTGTCGTTTTTCTAAACATTAGCTAGGCTCAGTGATAACTCAGTCATTAATGGTACTACAGAGGTGCTGGTCTAGCTTCATGTTATATGGGCGTACGGGCACTTTTATGCCCAAGCACCCTTATGAAGTCTTCTACCTTTTAAAACAATGCCCGAGTTGCATGAAAGTATCAGCCTTTTTGTGATGGGCCACTGCTATCTCGTTATAAACACGCCTCCTACAATGATGTAAGTGGAAAGGTGAGTCAGCAAGGCAACGTCCTGCGCATTCCGTCGCATGAACAGAAAATGGAAAACTGTGGGCACTGTAAGTCATTTCCTTTTCATTAAAATTGTATACTTTTCATGCAGCAAATGGAAATCGAGAAAAGATGAATAAGCGAAAATTAATGAAGAAATGTATATTATTTTTTGAATGTCTCTGAGTAGCGCAAACCATTTCCTCAATACATACAATTTTATTTCTTCCTTATTCACTTTTTCAAGGTTATTTTTTCCTTCTTGTGTTATTGAATTTCTCAGAGCATTTCACAATAGCTCATGCATAATATCACGCGAATAAAGGAATCCAAGAAGTATGCTTGAATTCCTTATCAATAAGTAGTATTTATTGATAAATAATTTTGCCACTGAATGCTATTAACTTGTAGAGACATTAGGTATTTTGGAAGCGAGAGAGATGAAAAATTAACAACGCTTTCGCCGGGAATCGAACCGCGGACCTCTGGAATACCGGCCCAGCGCGCAGAACCACTACACCACGAAGGCACGCTAAGAAGGTGGGAGAAATACCTTATAAACTGTATCTTCGATTCTTTATCATTGAATCCAATTAGGTTATTTAATTACTCCAAAGCCTCGAGGACTATCTGCCTATGGGAAGGGATGTCTTCGTGGAGGACTTTCTAAGGCAAAATGGCTCGTATAAACGTTACACACGGGGTAAACCACGAAAACACCCATGCAGCTAGCCCGTTCGTTGAGTCCAATTAACTGACGATTTAATTTCCCCATCACTCAGCGTTACTGATTGATCTATGTATCATGATATGCCAGGCAAGATCAATTAAATAGACCCATTGATCTATTAACTGATCATACCCTGTCAGCGAACGTATTAAAGATACTGTGGATAGGAGATCTTTGATTATAATACCAGCCGGAATTCAACCTATTCAATTATCGAAGCTATTGAGCTTGGTATTATAACAATTTGTTGAGGAGAAAACGAGTAAAAAGTTTTTCTTATTCTCAAGCTTTGCATGAGTAAAAGGTTGGCTTAATTGCTTCACCAGAAAATGGGCGGCTAGTAAAACAGTAAAATGAAAGTCCCATAGAATTTAAATCAAATTTAAAAGTCTCAAGATATATAGTAAAAATTGTCCATAAATCAATATTAGTATTGATGATTGGTTTAGGTTTATTTTATTATGGCAAAGCACACTAGGGCTATCTGCCTAAGGGAAGGGATGCCTTCGTGGAGGACTTTCTATGGGAAACTGGCTCGTATTACACATGGGGAAAACCACGAAAACGCTCATGCAGCCAGCCCGTTCGCGGGGTTCAAACCTCGGACCGAACTACCAGTGTTCAGCGACTTTACCGCTCGGCCGCTGGTGGGCCTAGTATTGATGAAGAGCCAGATAAAATCTTCAAATACAATGATGATTATACGAAATAACATGTAGAATATTACTATTAACATGCTATGCAAATTATCTCTTTTAATGGCAACAACTGGAATACAAATCATTAGCACTTTACAGACTTTCACTACATCTTTATCGTAACATGTTATTTACACAAATGCAACTTGTTATTTACACAAATGCAACAATTTTACTGCCAAGGTATACCACAATTGTTTGTAATCAATCATTCATTTTTAATAATGTACTCATGTATTTGAATTAGTGTTGTCTTAAGGGTTCTCTAGATCATGGTGGACGTGGTGCTATACTAATTAACCGTATGGTAGAGGCATAGTGCCCACATCCCCCGTTCCTTATCCTTATCCTTATGCAAATTATTTAAAAATAGTATTATTATTTTTACACTGATAAGGGAAAAATAATAAAAACTGTAAATAATTAAATAAATCTAGGAGAATATCTAAACTGTTCTGGGTGAAACACGCCAAAAAACAAAATCTTCATAAAACCTTTTAAACATTTTAAGTTAACATAAATCAGTTATAAGTTGTATATAAGTAAAAGCTGCCATTAAACAGGATTTTGTGGAATTACTTTTTTCTGAACCTAACCGTTTAATTTTATCTGAGGTATAATTTTTACACTCAGCATTTCACTTTGACTCCTTTTCTCTTTTCCCTGGACAGTAATTTGCTTTTTGCATATTCAGTTAACTCCTCAATGATGGATGTTAACTAATAAATAAATAAAAACATACCCTTACCTTTACCTATCGCTCACATGTACGTATACCGTGTATCCAATATGACCATGCAAGTGAGAAATAAAATACGTACACTTAATATCCTTTTACAGGGTGTTAAAAAAATTACACGAATAAATATCCGCAAAAATATTAACAATAAATTCATGCTCGAATCAAAATCAATGACTTTCAGACTACAGCTATTTTGTTCACATGACATTTTTAGCAAAAATATGTAAAATCTAAGTTTTTATATGCCCCGGTGGTAATCAATAAGAAAATATTTTAATAATTAAATTAGAGAAATGAAATAATATTCCATAGCCATGCTGTAAAAATTGCTTTACGCGTCATTATTAAATTTTTCAACAAATATATGGAAATCATACAAACATATTCCCTAAAACAGTTACGTTTATCAGTGTAATTTAATGTTTAATGTATCAGTGTAACTGTAATTGTTTAATGTAATCTTACAGTTTATCAGTGCACTGGAAACTGGCGATTAATCCCCCTGATCCTTAATTTATACAATGTCTTATATCTTATTTACCTTATGCATGAGTTTAGATCTCCGGTTATCAGTTTTAATGTTTATCGTTGATGAAAGCATTTTAGAGCCATGGATATAAGCGAGTTAAGATCAAATATTTTTATAAAGCGTGTTTTTCAATAATTCAGGAGATCATTAATTTCAGAAGGGAAGGTATGTAATTAGAAGCATCTTTAAGATTCCTTTATGTCAATTAATCAGTTATTTTATGTTCTGAAACTTTAATGTCCCTTCTACCTTCCGTTTTCCCTCCAGAATGCAAATTAGTCCCCGTGTGTTCAAGGTGAGGTTATTTTAGATTGTTAAGACGTAGCATGTTCTGCCTCTCGAGGCCACGTTACTAGGTTGCTCGGTAAGATAAGATTTGCAGTCTTTGAAATTGCATCATAATCCTCGATATTGAAACTCCATGCCATTTAATATGAACCATAGTCGCCTTAAATTAAAATTTATTTTAAAATTCGGCTAGTAGCTTATTTTTACGTCTAATTTGAATTTTACATCTGATAGACTGTAGCACCAAGTGTTTGAAGCACCAAGTACGCCTACTATTCTCCTTAATAAAAGCGTCTTTTACATCCTTCTTAAGTTTCAGTTGCTGTTTTTGACTTAACGATAATTCGCTGCCAGTCTATCTAAAGTTTAGTTACAGTTTATGATTGCCAAAAAGGATTCTAAACTTTATAATCTAATTGAAATTATTATATCATCTGTTTTAGGCATTAAGACAAGTATTTGTTAAAATTCTTACTTAATAATATGTTTAATTTTTGTATGATTTCAGGACTTTATACGGGAACTTCTAACGTCCGATGATTTCAATGTCATTTCTGTTGATTGGCGTTTAGGAGCATCACAGTCATATCCTCAGTCAGCAGCTAACACTAGAGCTCTTGGATTGGTCGTTGCTGATTTTATTGATTATCTCCAGGTAAAGTATTACAACTCCTACAGAAGCGTTCCCTTTTGTAAATATATGACATGCATATTTTGGTATGCTTAAGAATTGTGCTTTGAAAATTAGACGTGCGAGAACTAAAAAACATCACTAGAATTATTTAATCTGTTAATTCCTTTCGGGAAAACATGCGAGGGCTGTTTTACCTGAAAGATGTCTTCTTGGAATACGTATAAGTTAAAACGTTACACTTGGAGGAAAACCAAATGTTACTAACTCGTTCAGCAAACTGAACCGATGCAGAAACGCTCTATTTTTGTTTCGAAGCTTCAATCTTTCGAACATTTGAGAACCCAAATCTTTAATCAGATGCTGTTTTAAATTAGTATTGTTGCAAGTTATTTTCTTTCTTTCTTTGAACATTAAATTAGTGTCATCCCCTCATACATTTGTGAGAGTATCTTCCATTTACATTTCAAGCAACAAATGCATAAAATGTTTACTGTATTTAAACATATTGAAGAGCCAATAGTCACCAAATATAATACCAGGCTCTGAAATTGATAGGGTGCAACTTTCGAAACTTAATTTATCTATTTAACAACGAAATTCATCATTGAAGAAATGGCTGATGCCAGTAGACTTAAACTCCTAAGAAATTTTATGCGGTCCGCAAATACATTTAATTATGTATTTTCTGAAAACATGGTGCTTATAATTTTAGAGACATAGACTGAGCTCACGCGCATGACTACTCTTGAAGGAGAAAAGATCGAATAAATAAGTTGGGGCTTTGTGACTGTATGCTTGTACCCGGCGCTACATTCTAGGATAATGGGGGAGAATTTCCCGTATAAACGGAATCAATAAATTTATTTCGCCAGCCGACACCTTGTGGTTCTTCAATATTTTAGTGTTTCCCGTGTTCTGCCTTAGTGGTAAATCAACGTATTAGAATTACCTAAAATGTACGTCTAAAATTTAATATTTAGCTGTCAATACGTTTGAATCGCAAAGTTATAACACCAACAGAGATTTCTTGCAGGTACGAACCTTTAGATTTCAGGTAGAAAATAAACATAAATCTGAATATTTTTCTTTGCGTTATTACTATTATTGTTTATGTATTTTTTCATAAATTATTTTTTTTTAATCTTGAAATTTAAATCTTGTTCTATTAAGAAAGTTTTTAAACTTCGTTAAAAAATTGTTCTGGTCCGTCAGCTGCTTTCGGATCGTGCATTCAGCCCACATACAGTCTGAGTTTGAACCCACATACAGTCTGCGTTTGAACCCACATACAGTCTGAGTTTGAACCCACATACAGTCTGAGTTTGAACCCACATACAGTCTGAGTTTGAACCCACATACAGTCTGAGTTTAAACCCACATACAGTCTGAGTTTGAACCCACTGGTTTAAGGCATTGGGTATTCGTAGTTCCTGACAGGCAGCCTGCATGGAATTTTTGCGATTTTCTATATTGTAACGTAAAATAAACCAACTTCCCTTGGAATGTTCTTGATGCAGGCAGATAGATAGTACTAGACTTTTGATGCGACAGGATATAAGCTTTTTCTGTTCGAAGCAAACTCTATGGCAAATTCAAATGAACTTCAGTTATAATTTTATGTTTTTATTGTTTTCAATAACTTTCAGACTTTTGGAATACAGCATGTGAAAATCTTTTAGATTCCGTATGGATTAACAACATATTAGAGGAAAAACAGAATGAATGCAGTTAATGTGCTAGATTGCTTTCGTTTTACTGAGGTTGTGTTTGGTTATTTGTAGTGCACTCGCTGTTTACATGGATTCCGTTCCTGGATATTTTTAATCAAAGCTGGAAGGGAGTGAAGACCGCTGTTGCCCAAGGTCTATGAGAAAGAAACGGGCTTATTCACTGATGCATCCATATTCCTGAGCTCGTATGTAAAATAACAACAAAAATAACACTGGTTATTTATTAATAAATCTTATTATTATTATACATTATCTGTTTTTGGGGTGTGTGCCTTCATGGTGGACTTTGCAAAGCAAACTTGGCAATAATCACGTCGTACGTAGGAAAAACACCAAAATCCCGTTTAAATCTCATAATCAATCGCCAAGAAAAGAACTTTAAATGATCTTCTAGCGTGTAACCCAGTCGTCCACTACGTTTTTATGAGAAGAAAATTAACAGAAATGAATTATTATGAGATGATAAATGCTCTATCGTAAGCTAATTCTAGATAAGTATTTCAGGACTTTTCTGTGCATATTCTGCAAATGTATAGGATGGGGTAAAATTCAATGTCGAATTTAAAGATTCATTAATTTTTTATTAATGATCCAGTTTTAATGAAGAAACATACATACAATGAATGGCTGATATACTGAAATTTGCTTAAGTAATGAAGATTTCATCTTTACATAAGTAAGTTTGCCGCCTGAAAAACTCAAGTTTTTTCTATTGTGTCTTTCAAAGCAGTAGTGACACCTGAGGCTCTAGCGCTGGGATTTCTGTCTTGCTTATTTCATGATCCGCTCAAGGATACATCATTTGTTCACGCCCACCTTCTTCAGGTTTTCCAAAAGGAAAGCTGAAGTAGAAAGGGACGAAAGTGGCAGCTTGTTAATTTGGCAGTATTTTGAAATTATCAGACAGCCGAAGTTTCAGCAAGCTCATTATAACTTTGATGTGTAAGGCTATCCTGTCGAAACCATAGCTCAAGATGATTTTCTACTGCATAGCGTAAAACGTTTTCTATCTTATCCTTAACACCAGTAACTGTCAAATCCTCGCTAATATACTTATCTGATAGTTTCTTCATTAACTTCACTGTGGCGAATCTTTTAAGACTCAATTATAATATGTAGTTGCAATAAAAACTGAACTACTGATAAAACAGTTATCTGACTGTCAAATCTTATTTAAAATTTTAGCCCACTCTGTATTTCGGTATAATAGTTCTCAATAAAAATGCTTATTTTGTCTTAATCTTTTTTATGAATTTTCTTGATCTTCATGCTTTTAAATGTAAGAACTTTTCAAAACACCGGAGTCTTTGAATTCGCATAATGAACCACCTGATTATATTTTCTATGATATCTGAGTTAAAGACGTAGAGTAGGATTCTGGCCTTTTTAGCCCAAAAGCGCATTGGCCTAGAAGGGCTCTTAGTCCCAAAACGGGATTTTGCGTCGAATCACTATAAACGGCTGTACCACTTTTCAAATTGTTGCCAACAAATATTATCACCCTGTATTAATTTAAAGAAATTTAATAAAGAAGAATCTGCATGATATATGTATGTTGCTCGCATTGTGAAAAAACAACGATAGCTGAAAACACAACGATAGCTTTTTTATTATCTATTTCATGTTTTTTAAATAAGTTTTTGATTAAGAAACTCAACGATTTCAGAGTGAGCAGCGGCAACACGCTGTATGGAATAAAATATTTTTATCTTCAGTGTGCGAGACTGTCTATCAGAAATTCTAAAGCTACGTTGTTTTTAAGTATTTTTAACCAAAAGGGGAGTTGGCCCAAATGCTCTCGAAAGGTTAAACACGAGTAAATAAACAAAACCCCCCTTTGGGTGCAATATGAAATCTGAATACTTTCAGACCTTTTTTTGTATGCGTGGGCATTTGTCTTTGTAACACTTTAAAATTATTCTAAAAGAACATTCAAGACTAGTAGGAATTTAATTAGTAAAATTAATGCTAAAAACAAGCAAAATTCAAAACATGTGATGTGCTCGCTATAATTTATTCCAGTATTTGAACAAAAAATTTAAATGATTTTTTAATGTTAAGTAACCTTGATTTTTTTACCTACTTAATAAAGGTTTCTCGGAATTCCAACCAGGAAACAAAAGAGGGAAAAAAAATTCACCTGTTGGGTCATTTGATACGGAAAAAATGCCTTATTTTCTCCACCCATTTACTTTCCTTCTAATATCATGTTTTGAATGAGTTTCAAAATTGAAAAAGTAAATGAATTAATTTCTCTTCTGGCCTTCTGAATTCTAATAAAAGATTTCATTTTGCACTTTTTTTTGCTAATCTAAATAGGCAACAGGTTTGTTTCTTGGCCGTAAAACGACTCACACCCGCTGAAAGCACGTATAAAGTTGCCATGGCCATTGTGGTCAGAATGACCTCTTTATATAGCAAAAGGTTTATCAGCCGCTAGAAGTAGTCAAAATGACGTAACAAAATAATGATTAAGAAAAGTAACTGTACTATTTTTCTATAATTCTATACTAATGTGTTCATTGTATCAAAAGAGAATTAACAACCTTATTAATGGCAATCACTACATTCAGTACTAGTACACGATCTGGCATGTTGCTTAACCCAATCCAGACGACCAAGTGAGAATTTCTGTCTCTCTACAATAGTGGACGCTGCATTCTAATTTAAACAACTAATTCTACAGTCCAAATATGAAATTTAATAGATAATTTTTTTATCATGAATCTGTAAAATAATATATCTATAAAATAATATAAGCAGGTAATCGTGAAATACAGTATAAAATAATATAAATATTACAAAGAACATAAACTAATTCACTATGCTACAGTCTTATTTGCTCATTAAAACAGTTTCATTTCAGTATAAAGCACAATTTTCTGTAAGAACATAGTAATGTAAAGCTAAGGATTATTATACTGGATAGGCAATAAAAAATTTTTTCTAATACATTGAATATACACTGGTGTGCAAAAATTAAGGACGAAGTCGAAAAATTAGCATATCAGCTGAACGAAGAGGCGGAGAGGACAGAAAGACCTATCAGGAGATTAAGTAAGGTGATGTACGGTAGCACATGCACAGATATGCAGGTAGACGTAATGGGGGAGTGTCTGAGTAGTATAAAGCATGTTGTCGGTGTAAGATCAGTATTTCTGGCAAAGAGATTTCAAGCCGTATAGCAGTTAAAATCACACCGAGTTGCTGCCTCAGCGAGAAATGGCGAATAATCAATCTGTTAGACGACATCTGGATGCTTTTACCCGAGGTCGAATCATTGGGAAGTTG